CCCCCTCCCCACCCTGATTCTTACACATCCCCAAACAGTCTGGGTTTTTTTCAGGAAAGCAGGTGAGGGCAAGGAGAGAGACTCAAGGGTTTCACAGAGAGGGGGGGGTCGTGGGGGTGTAGGGAACTCTTGGGGCGGTCCTGAGCTGGGGGAAGTCCTCACATGGAGGGAGCGGGCAGGGCATTCGGACCGCCAGGTCTCTGGCCAGCCAGAGTGATCCCTGGGCATCCCTGGTCGTACCTGGTCACACGTGAGGGGCCTCCACCCCCACTGTGTGCTGATTTGTGTCCTGCAAGGTAAGGGCTCTCCTCGGGTGACCAGGAGACCCGTGCCCGCAGGTCCGGGCTGCCATCGTCGGCACAGACGGGCCTCTCTCGACAGCTCGGTATTCCAGGAAGCCTCTGCTAGAGCTCTCGGGCTTTTACAAACTAATCGTGTCATTATCTCGTCATATAGCATGTGGATTTATCAAAGGATGGGAAAGGACACGCAGAACGCCTGTGACTCCTCCTCCCTCCGCCCTAAGAAGCTCCTTTTTCAGACAGAGAAATGGGGTCAGCGATAACACTGGAAGTAACTGGGTGTCACCCGGCCTCTGCTGTGGGTCCCTCTGAGGGCAGGCACTGCCAAGGCAGGCGCCGGGTTCCCGTCCCCGGGTGGGCCTGCGGGAGCCTAGAGGGTCTGCTCCCTGTGCATCCACAGGGGGCCGCCTGGAGGAGAGGGCATGGGTGGCCTCGAGAGCCGTCAGTCCAGACCTGCACCGGCTTTGCTGACCGGGTGGGCATGGGTGACCCCGGCCTCAGGTGCCCGTCCTGGCTTCCTCTGGGCCGGCCAGGGCCCCCAGCCCAGACTGGGAGGGGACGCTCACTGAACTGAGGACTCACCACATGCTTGCCGCTCAGGACTCTGCGTGTGCCCTGGGGGCACTCTGCTCTTGCCGAGCCCCCTGGGGCACGGACGGCCACCCACTGCTCCCCTGGGAAGCGACTTCTGGGGGCTCGGTCACACACCTCGGTGGGGCTTGGACACCTCAGGCTCCCGTCTGGGCCGCTGGCCGTGACACAGGGAGGGGGCCCCACAGGGACCCACCGGCCTTGGGGATCAGGTGCCCCACGAAGGCAGAGACCCGTGGATAGGGCAGGGCAGCCTCCGCTGGGCTCCTGATGAGGGGCCCCACATGTGGTCCCCACCCTGGGGCCACGTCTGCCACACTCCCACTCCCGCCATGTGCCTGCACTAGGTCCGCAGCCCACGGTTCTGGGTCTCCCTCCCCATCACTGGCAGGTCCCTTGGGAGGATGTCATTCTGGAGAGTCAAGCAGATGTGGCCCAGGAAGGAGACAATGACACAGTGGCCAGGAGGGGAGTGACAGGAGGGGCGCCGAGCCCACAGGAGGCCGGATGGGGCGCCTCCCCGTGGACTTTGTTTGGGGACAGCCCTCATCCAACCACCGGGCGCCTGGCGGGGGCCAGCGCTGGGAGGGGCAGAGTGCCTGGCAGTAGCTTGATGCCCGAGGGGCCTGCCCCATCCTGGGTGCCCACTGTGACATGGGCGGCCGGCCTCCTGCCCTACGCATGGCTCTGTAGAAGCGTGGTGACCCCTTTCTCCCCTTCCTCTTCTAGCAACATGGCTGACAGCAAGGCCAAGGCCGCCAAGGCCGCCAACAAGACACCCCCCAAGTCCCCAGGGGACTCCGCAAAGGACAGAGCGGCCAAGAGGCTGTCACTGGAGACAGAAGGTGCCGGCGAAGGGGCGGCCGCTGCGGCCCCAGAGCTCAGCGCCCTGGAGGAGGCTTTCCGGCGCTTTGCCGTGCACGGGGACACCAGGGCCACCGGGCGGGAGATGCACGGCAAGAACTGGTCGAAGCTGTGCAAGGATTGCCAGGTCATCGATGGGAAGAATGTGACCGTCACTGACGTGGACATCGTCTTCAGCAAAATCAAGTAAGTGCCCCCCAGGCCTCGCACTCGGGACTCCCGGTGGGCGTTGTGTTCAGCTGGCAGTGAGGGGTGTGCCAGTGCCCCTGACCCGTCCCTTCTCCGGATAAGATGCCCAGGATTTGGCCGGGGCTGGCGGGGGTCCCTGGAGCTGGCGGCAGAGCTGAGAAGCCTGCCCCTCGGGCGTGACAGGTGCCTCGCACCCTCGAGCCTGGGGAGGTGTTCACACCCGAACTGTGATGCAGCGTCATCGCCGCGGACTCGGTGGCTGTGAGCAGCGAGCCCGTGTGCTTCCTGCACGCGTGCTCGTGTCCTTCCTCCTGGATGCTGGAGAGAGCGTCAGGCGTGGTTACGTGCCTTCCCCGTCCCTCTGGGCGCTTCTGCGGCCCGAGGACACCCTCCCCCACCTCCCGCCCTCCAAACCTGAGGACCCACCCGAGAAATGTCACAGCGCGCCCAAGGCTGCCTGGCGTCGAGCGATCTCGGTGTAGGTCACACTTGTGGGAAAATAGCTTCTTTCTGACACGTGTCTATCTCAGTTACTGTGATGCCTTAGCTGCACGTCCCCGTGACCTGGGCACGTTTCCTGGGACGGCCCTGTGCCCTCCCTGTACATTCAGCGGTGGATGGTTTCCTCCCTGTGTCCCCCCAGCGGCTGTGACTCCGTGTCACCAGACATGGCGCGTCTATCCAGGGAGGTCTGCCTGCTTTCCTGGGCAAACACTGGTGCCTGTCCTCACAGTGACCACCGACCAAGGGGGCAGCCTTCTCCTCCAGAGCTGGGAGGTTGCAGGAGGGTAGAGCTGCCCCACGAGAAAACCAACCCTTAGGACCCAGATCACTCACCAGGTGGAGGGGACTTGGTGCCAGAGGAGGAACCAGTCAGAATTCAGGGTCCGGGCAGAGGCCCCAAGGGGACCACAGCTGACGGAAAGGGATTCTAGTGAGCACTCCACTCCCAAGGCCCAGGGTCAGAGGGGAAGGGACAGGGCTGGGGTGCAGGGGGGATGAGGAGGTAAAGGTGGGGTGCAGGGGGAGGAGGAGGAG